GAGATTAGCAAATAATCTAGTAATAATTAGATTATTGAACTGGCCTTTTAAACCATTTTGTACCATATTGATACAGTGTCTGTGGGTGTGCAGACTACGTCTCCTGCTATAGATTATTAGCCAGGAGATGGTAATGTAGCCTACCATGGGGAGAAAGTTTAAATATCCATTTCTCTGTGCAAATATCTCGGAATGCACACATTCCAGGCTCTTTGCTAAGGATTTTATTTTGCTGTTATCTCATTTAATCATCATAACAATCCTGGGGAAATGGGTTTGTTTTAGAAATGTGGAAATCATTACTCAGAAAATTACACATTTTGCCATAAGTCACACAAGCTAGTAAGAATCAGATCCAGGGTTTAAATCTAGGTCAACTTTGATTCCAAAGCCTGAGCTCTTCTATACAAACTGCACAGATCAAACATGTTACAGAAACTCTCCTGCCTCGGGGCTATGGCCCTTGCTCCCCTGTGACACTAATGTTTTAGGAAGATGGGTAGAATCTGCCCGCATTTTTCCCATCCAAGGAGGTCAGACTAATCCCTAAGTCAGGCACACCTTTTCCCCTCTGTCCTTGCTGGGCTTTGGTACTAGGCAGTGGTCTCCATCCTCCACAAATGCCCATGGCTGTCCTTGTGTGAAGGGGCCCCTATTGTGGCCAGTCAACTCAGTGTCCTAAGATAGACTTACCAGCTTCTACACTTCTGTCCACCACCCATTCCCCCATCTCTCAGCTCACCTTTTTCAGAGAATTCTTGAAACGCTACAGGGGTATGGGTCCCTGTTCCTTAAAAACATAAAATCATTTAGAGTAGTGGCTGGAACATTATACAAGAACTCCAGAGGACTTATGGAATAGTCAGCTGCAAATACTCATGCATTTTCACTGCAGTTCCTCTTCCATCAGAGTAAGAATGTCAACTTGATGAAAGGCAGGGTAGGTGAATTTGTGAGGCTTTGTGGGTAGGAAAAACCCGAGCCAGGTAGTTACCCAGGCTGGCCCTTCCCAGCCTTTCTGTTGATGGCCTTCATGCCCGTTCCTCCAGGTGGCGCCCCTCCCAATGTGGATCCTGAGGCTTACTCCTGGTTCCAGTCAGTGGACTCCGATCACAGTGGCTATATTTCCATGAAGGAGCTGAAGCAAGCCCTGGTCAACTGCAATTGGTCCTCGTTCAATGATGAGACCTGCCTCATGATGATAAGTGAGTCTCTGCCTTGCCCATGGGCCCGAGCTGGGGCAGAGCTACCTGACAGTGGACAGTAGGTGGGTGGGTAGACATTCTGAGGAGAAATCCATTGACCAGGGAGGACTGTGTGGAGGAAGCTGGGTTCAGGGTGGGATCCTCTAGACCGAGAGCTGTTTTCCTGAGATCTTACTTATATTCTAGACCCTGCCTAGTTAACAGGTTAACCCGTTTCCTCTTCTGCAGAATGGCACTCCCTCTCCTGGTAGGAAATAGCAGGGAGGGCCAGGTGCCAAGCCTGCAGAGAAAATGCAGTTCTGGATGGGGTGGGGCTAATGGTGGCCAGGGGAGGAGGCCAGCGCAACGCCTGATGTGGGTGTTTCAGGTACAGGCATCTGGGCCTTAAGGCCTTGGTTCTGTGAAGTCATCTACTCCAGCGTGGGGAGAAGGGCTGCCTCAGTGAGGCCTGCTTGGGGCCCTTGGCCTTCAGTCTTGAAGCCTTCCTCTCTTCTTTTCCCTCCTCACCTTCAGACATGTTTGACAAGACTAAGTCAGGCCGCATCGATGTCTACGGCTTCTCAGCCCTGTGGAAATTCATCCAGCAGTGGAAGAACCTCTTCCAGCAGTATGACCGGGACCGCTCGGGCTCCATTAGCTACACGGAGCTGCAGCAAGGTGCGGGCCATGGCCGGGGCACGATGGGCAGGGCAGAGCTAGACTTTTCTCTTTATACCCTAAGGTGCAACAAGGGGTTCTCCTCTTGTTACTGCATGTCTGCCTGCACTACAGAACGCTGATCTCAGTGCAGGCCTGCGTCCCTCACCCCTTCTGTAACCCAGCTGGGGCACTGAGCCAAGATCCAAGGCAAGGAAACATCTGAGTCCAAAATCAGTGCTGTACCCCCTGGTGATAGGACTCCCAGAATTCTGGATGAGATGACCCCAGCCACAGGGAGCCTTAAGAACAGAAACTTGGCACCTTAAGGACTAAAGGACCAGTGTGTGTTGCTTGGGTGGCTCTTTCCTCTCCAGTTTCTAGCATGTTGAATGGAGAGAGCCCTGAACAGGGCTCAGAAAGATGGGTCTGTTGCCACCTCTGCTAGTGGGCAGTTTCTTTCCCAACTTTAAAAGTTGCACTTTAAAAGACCCTGAGCACTTTAAAAGTTGCCGTTGGGGAAGATGACCTGAGGCCAGAGTCCCAGGCCTAGTTCTAAACTGACTCTGTAAGGCTGGAGACTGCAGCTTGGGCTCAGGCAGGTTAGTAAGATGTTGTGGGGAGGACCCGAGAGGGAGCCTTGCCACCCAGGAGGGAGAAAGGGCTCCTTGGAGAGTCTAATCCTTTGCCCAGGCTATGGATTTCAGTTAGACTAAGGAGGTCTATGGGCAGGAGGGAGTGCACCACATCTGCCCCCAGTAGAGGGGAGGGGAGATGACCGATACTAATCACCTCCTCTCTGCAGCTTTTGTCATAGATATTAGTAGGGGTGATACTAACCACAACAAAACTGATAGTTATTGAATGCTTGCTATTTGTAGTAGGTTTATGTAATTCATTCTTCCCATGTGCTATTTATAATTCAACACCTTTTGATGAAGAATCCCTTGTTATCTCCCTTTTACAGATGAGAAAACTGAGGTTTAGTGTAGATAACCTGTTCAAGGGCCTGCATAGCAAATGGAGAGCTGAGGTTTTAGCCTGGCCTGGTAAGTTATGAGCAGAGGAAGCAAGGAAGCATCCCAGTGGAGAGACAGGATGCTCCAAGAGACCTCTATCAAAACAGCACTTACCGAGTGCTTTTTACGTGCCAGTCACTGTGCTAGGTGCTGTACATGATCACCCTTTTTAATCCTTACTAGAACTAACAAGTATTAGCCCCATTTTAGAGATTATAAGACAGGGATAGTGAGGCTAAGCAACTTGCCCAGGGACTAACTCCAGAGCAGGTCCTCCTACCTCTACTGTGTGGCCTCTGATGTCTGCCCTAGGCAAGGTGGTCTGGGGGCTCAGAGATGATTGCAGGTAGTCTGTTGTCATCTCTGGAATCCCATGAGCCTCAGTTGAAGAGACAGTAATGGGGATTTGGAGAAAGAGGGATGAGGGGCTTCCAGCTAAGGGGAGCATCCAGACAGGGCCCTTGTTGTGCACCTGCCATCTTGGACAGAGCCCTGGGATATCTCTGCCCTTTTTATGCTTCTGTGCCCATCCTCTCAAAGTCCCCTGAGCTGCCGTGCTTCAGTATTGCTGATTGATGGAGGTGCTCATGGTAGGTTTTTGTGTGTCTGGTCTGTGTGCCTCTCTTCTCCAGCTCTATCTCAAATGGGCTACAACCTGAGCCCCCAATTCACCCAGCTTCTGGTCTCCCGCTACTGCCCACGATCTGCCAGTCCTGCCATGCAGCTTGACCGCTTCATCCAGGTGTGCACCCAGCTGCAGGTGCTGACAGAGGCCTTCCGGGAGAAGGACACAGCTGTACAAGGCAACATTCGGCTCAGCTTCGAGGACTTCGTCACCATGACAGCTTCTCGGATGCTGTGATCCCACCCATCTGTGGAGAGTGGAGTGCGCCACGGACCTTTCCTGCCATCTTAGAGTGAGAGAAGCATGTGGACCTCTCTTCCTTTCCTGTCCCTCTAGAAGAACATTCTCCCTTGCTTGATGCAACACTGTTCCAAAAGAGGGTTGAGAGTCCTGCATCATAGCCACCAAATAGTGAGGACCAGGCCTGAGGCCACAGGTAGGGGCCTGATGGAGGAGAGGATGGAAGCTGAATGTCCTGATGGCCATGAGCAGTTGCGTGGCACCGCCTGGCCCCAGGAGCAGGAGATGACTTGTAATGGAGTTAGTGTCCAGTCAGCTGAGCTCCACCCTGGTGCCAGTGGTGAGTGTTCATTGGCCTGTTACCATTAGCACCTGTGTTCCCTCACCACCCCTCAGGCCATCCTGTCACATGAGCTCATTTTCTCCAAAGTGGAATCTGACCAAGCATGAGAGAGATTTGCCCATGGGACCAGTGGCTTGGATTCCACCATACCCATAAATCCTTGTGTGTTAACTTCTAGCTGCCTGGGGCTGTCCCTGCTTAGGGAGCTCAGACAAATCTGCTCCCTGGGCATCTTTGGCCAAGGTACTGCCCTCTGCAGCTGGGACCCTTCACTTGCCTGCCATGCTCTGCCCAACTTCAGTCTCCAGGGGACAGTGGTCACCTCTCCTTGCCAATACTTTTTTTAATTTGCATTTTTTAATTTGGGACCAAAAGTCCAGTGAAATTGTAAGCTTCAATAAAAGGATGAAACTCTGGGGTTCCATGTTTTCCACCATGATTTCTCAGCTACAGGTTCATCCACTCATTCTTCCAGTGACTATGTAAGTACATCCTATATACCAAGCCATGCAGAAAGCAGCAGTTCAGGAGGGACTTGGCCTATGTGGGGCTCCTCTCATTTGCCAGAGTGAAGTTAAGTGTAGGATAGCCAGCTGGGGGGGTCTGCCGGGTTCAGTTCAGTCTGGCCTGGAGGTCTATTCAGGAAGCTGTTTCATGGCAGTTTTAGGGCTGGCATTGTGGGCTGAAAGCAGCTACCTCAAACTTCATAGCTTGGCCTTTTCTATTTTCTCAGGCCCCAGTTTTATCTTCCAGACAAACTCCATTTATTAAGTCATAACTTTCCCCCATTTTTATTAAGCACAGACATCTGTACTTGCAAGTCGGATATTTAGATCAGCATAATACCCAGTCTACACCGAGTGTCTGTAATGAGCTGACCACATTTCAGTCAAAAGCCAAAGACATCAGACATTCTAGTTTGCCAGGGGGCTTTATACTGGGTAATGGTGATTATCTTTTGGCTTTTTGAGATAAAGATAAGAGCTCTGAGGCCCTGCGCAGGGCTCTCCTCCCTGCAGTGGATAGTTGGAAGTAACTGACTGTTTTGCAGGTCAGTGAGGCCCAGCAGGTGTGTCGGGCTCAGCCAGGTCAGCTGCATTCTCCTCTGGGCTGCTGTAGTGCTAGAATCCCAGCATTAGATGGAATCCAGTTCCCAGAGGCTAGCCCCCATCCAGAGCTAAAATCCCCTTCAGACCCCCTCCCTGTGAGTCTGGCGTCTGCTTCCAACCTCCAGTGGCAAAGAACTCAGTGCCTTTCCAGGCAACCCGTTTCCTCCATGACTGGCAGAAACATCTTCCTGATGTGGATTCTAAATCCTGCCATCTTGAAAACCCCACCATTGGCTGTGGTTTTCTCTGGGGGCCACCCAGGACATACGTCACCCTTTCTGCATGCTAACCCCCTTCATAGTGGAGCCTGCTCTATATGCCACATTGTCCCCAAGTCCTCCCTTCCCTAGGCCAGGTAGCCGTGGGCTCTTGAGCATTCCCTTGCTGAGCATCTCCCCCCGCTCAGCATCCTGGTCACCTCCGCTGAGTTTTCTTCAGTTCATTCAAGTCCCCCAGAGTGGAGGGCCGAGGCCTCCATGGTGCTGGGTTCAGGCAGCAGAGCGTGGGGTAGAACTGCAGCCGTCGGAAGCAGCACCTGTTGTTTCTTTGTTCCCACTGAACCAAGTGTCTGCCGAAACCGATGCTGCCAATTGCAGTCTCTCATCTTTGTGCTCAGCTGAGGCTGACGAGCCCAAGACCTGCATTGATCTTGTGAGCATGATGGTTGGTTCTGAGTTTGGGGGCCAGCCCTCACACCTCATCCTGCACACTCACCTCCAAGCCTACCTATGCACTGTGCCAACAGCTTTGGGTCCTAAGGCCACTGGGAGTGTGGAATGGGCAGGAGAGCCCATCCTCCTGGCAGCTGCTGGGGCTCTGCCCCATCCACAGAGGGCTGGGCTGGTGAGTCATGTGGAGAGCAGGTGTCGTCCTTAGACCACACATTCCACCTGCTCTGGGTAAAGCGGTGTGCCTAAGAGAGCAGTGCTTCAGCACTCCTGAGCTGGGCCCCTGGCAGCACCAAGGCTCTGCCTACCTTCTTGACAGGGGAGGTCAGAGGGAGCCCGCAGCTCCATTAATCAAGTTAAGCAGACCTGGTGGTGTGCATAGCAGAGCTGGCCCCTGCCAGATGTCCCTGTTCCTCAGCAGAGTAGCACTTGAGACTGTGTTCCACGTCCTGCTCTGGCAACAAGGCTCAGGGTTTGGCAGCCTTAAAGTCATCTCGGTGGCAGACGGAGCGTGTCTGGCCAAGTCTGTGGCTTTCTCTTTTTATCCTGTGAGTTCATAGAAAATAGATGCAAGTCCTGGTTTCCAAGAAGGTAACAGTAAATCAGCCTGTTAACCTGCTGTCTGCCCGCCATGCCGCCCTTACCTTCCCCGGGCCATTGGGCCTGTGAACAGACAGTTGTGTTAAGCAAGGTCCCGGCGTCACAGGATTGGCACCGCATGAGGAAGCAGCACCATGTGTGCCGAGGCCTGGCTGAGTCCATCTGGGATCCCGTGTCGTGGTGGTGGGAGGTCAGCAGATAAGAGCATTCTAGTGCCTTCTTGTCTTCCCTCCCCCCAGCTTCCCCGCCTTCTTCTGCTCCTAACCTAAGCAGCACAGATTTTGTGCAATGACAAGGAAAGGGAACATTCAGTGCCAGGCTTTTAATTACAGTTGCTTCGGGCTGCTGGCCTCTGCCAAGTGGCCATGGAGAGTGTTCTGTCACACCACAAAGCCAACAAGGTCGGGTCTGTGGTGTGTGCCCTTGGCACCTGGTGAGGGTGGGGCTGTGCTTGTGGCCCACTGGAGAAAGGCTGGGCCCAGATTAGTTCACACAGGCATCAAAACAGCCAGCCAAGTGCAGCCCTGGGCTTCAGGGAGCCACTGGACCAGATGGAAATGCCTGTTGGGACCTTTAGAGCAGCCTCCAGGGAAGGCCTTTAATTGGGTAGAAAAGGGGTTTTTGGGAGGATGGCCAAGCTTTGGAAGGATGATGGCGGCAGATTATACGGTGGGGTATGGCCAAATGAGAGAAGTACAATGATAATCATGTCCACAACACTTCACAGTTTACAAGGAGCGTTCCACTTGCTTCAACATGCTTAACCCTCACATCAACCCTGCTTAGGGGACACAGGCTCAGAGAGGAGAAGTGATTTGTCCAGAGTCACACAGGCAGAAACCCAGGACAGAAGCACCAGCCTTTTGCCACACCCAGTTGTCTTTCCATGAGGGGTAGGGGCAGATTCCCCCTAGCTGGAGCTGCCAGGGCAGCCCTTGTTCAGGGCAGCACTGTGGTGACGCTGGTGAGCACCACATGCTCAGAGATTTTGGAGACGGAGCATCGGCTCTGCAAGGACAAGGACTTGTGGCTGACAGAGGAGCGGGGACTAGGGGCCTTCAGAGAGCTGCAGGGACCCCGGCCAGGCAGGCAGCAGGAGAAGGCAGCCTTAAACTGCTCCCGGAATTTGCCTTGGTTGGGAGACAAAAGACAGCCATAAGGAGACAGATGCAGCAGGAAGGGGCCTTGAGCCCAGGGACACCCACGCAGCTCCAGCCAAGCTGCCTGTGAGGGTGGGGAGGGAGGGACAGAGCTGGGAGGGAGAGCCCTGAGGCCACCTCAGCACCGCCGCCGCCTGGGAGAGTGAGGACAGAGGCCCTGGAGCAGGTTGCCAAAGAGAGACGATCTGATTCCTTGACTGCGCTCTGGCTCAGAGGCTGGCTCAAACGTGGTGTCTGGCTCAGGGGCCTCAGGTCACCTCTGCCTTCCTTGGCGTGTATGTGGGCTCACTATCTGCTGCTAGGCTTGTCCCCTCTCTGCCCTTTGATCATGAAAATGACGGCAGCAGCAGCCCTTTTGCATATGGCAGTCACGATGTGCCGGGTGCCTCAGCATCTGTCCCCCAGAACATCCCAGCACCCAGCGAGGCTGGAGTCCTTTCTCCTCACTTCACAGATGGGATACACAGAGGAACAGTGGCTTGTCCCAGGCCACCCAGCCAGAAGCTAAACCCAATTTGAATTCCAAAGCCCTTCTCTTAAGCAGGCAGGGGAGGGAGGAAGAGAAGGAGGGACCACCATACCACCCATACCACCTTGTTCAGCCCAAGTATACCGGGGAAACAGATTTTGTCAGCATGAGGCCCCTTTGATCATGTGTCATTAGCCTGCCAGCCTCTCTTGTGCCCAGCACAGGGCTGAGCACACAGTAGGTGCTCAGTAAACATAGACCAAATCAAGGCATATGTGTCAGGAAGTCTCTCTGCCCTCTGCTCCCCACAGGGCTCATCTCTTCTGTTCTCTTTTCTGAGCTGGAAACCTGCAGCCAGCCTTGCTGAGTAATTCTTGAGTCTCATTGAGGGTTATACTATTGACTCCTGATCCCTTCTTTAACCTTTTAATAGTTCCTCAAAGATTATTTCTGTCCAGGCTTGAACAGTCATCTGGACCAGTTCTTTAGAAGCCTAGTCCCAATATCAGAGGGCTGGTGAGTCACACTTCTGCCGAGTTCAGCGTCAGGGCCATTACCACCCCGAGACTGGGAGGTAGAGGGAGAGGGTGGGCACGGTGGGACAGCAGAAAGGGGAGCCCTGGAGTGGGAGTGGGGGCGGCTGGGAAGGAAGACTTCCAGAGGGGACAACCCCTGAGATTCTGGTCACTCTGCCAGTGTGTGTCTAGCTGAGCAGGGGAAGCCCTTTCCCCAGGTCTAGCCTGTCTCTGCTGGTGACCCTCCTTTAACCCTGACACCTGGACTGTGCGATCCTTCCTCAGGCAGGGCTCCAGGGCCTTCCTCCCACAGGTGTGACTCCTGCCAGGGAAGATGGACTCCTCTGCCTGTGCTGATTGGAGGTCCTGCTGTGCCTGCACCTGGATGGGAGTGGGGGCGAGCTGGCCTAGCCCCTGCCCTTCTACTCACTCACTGCTCTGCAGAATCGCAAAACTGGATCCTGGGTGCCGGCCACTGTGGGGAGTGTGGCCTGTCTCTCACTCAGGCCAGGGCTTCTTGGGGTGGGTCCTCCCAGAGCAGGATCACTGTGCCCACAGCAGGCACATCCTCGCCTGCTGCCCTTTATTTGGGCCCTGGCTTGGGGATGGGGAGACTTGTCACGTGGACTGTTGGCCACCCTCAATCGCTGCCTCCCCAGCCTGCTCACCGCTGAGGAAGTTGTAGATGATGGGGTTGGCAGCGCTGTTGGCGTACACCAGCCAGTGGGAGAAGGTGAAGCAGGCGTAGACAGCTTCGCGGTTGCTGGCTTGGCGGAACATCCCGAACACCCTAGGCCCAGGGTTGAGGAGTGTCAGAAATGGGGTAGCTGTGCGTGCATGTGTTGGGGGAGCGCTGCTCACAGAACCTGAGCTGTAAAGGGCAGGAGTTCCCACTGCCCACTTCCATCCAAGTTTTCTGGCCTTCTGTATCTGAGGTCTTGGCCAGGGTTTGGGGTTCTAAGCATGGAGGGTGTCAGGCTCTGCAGTGGGCATCTCCAGTCTCCTGGCCATCAGATTCCCTGGGGCTTCCCATCTGCTTTCTCATCCATCCTCACAGCAACACGGTGAGTCATAAACATCATCCATCTTTCCATTAAGGAAACAGGCTCAGAGAAGTAAACTAACATGCCGAAGATCACACAGCCAGGAAGTGGCCAAACACAATCTCCAAGTGAGACTGTCTTCTGTCCAGTAGCCCGCATTCTCTCCCCGGCACCCTGTGGCCCTCATTGGCTGTCACTCCAGACACATACATGATTTGCTCTCTCACCTCCTTCAAGTCTCTGCCCAAATGCAATTTCCTTGGAAAGGCTTTTTTTTTTTTTTTTTTTTTTTTTTTTGAGACAGGGTTTTGCTCTGTCACCCAGGCTGGCCTAGCCCCAGGCTGGAGTGCAGTGGTGCAATCATGGCTCGCTGCAAACTCGACCTCCTGGACTCAAGCTATTCTTCCACCTCAGTCTGTGTAGCTAGAACTATAGGCACATGCCACCATGCCTGGATAATTTTTTGAATTTTAGTAGAGACAAAGTCTCACTATGTTGCCCAGGCTGATCTTGAACTCCTGGCCTCAAGCGATCCTCCCTCTTTCGCCTCCCAACATGTTGGGATTACAGGCGTGAGCCACTGCACCTGGCCCGCTGCTTTTTAAAAAACTGTTATATCTAAAGCAAAAGCAAAAACCCCCCAACCCTTGCCATTGGCACTCTCCATCCTATTTTGCTTTTCTTCCCAGCAGTGATCACTGCCTGACATTATCATATACATTGAGTTTTCTATTTCCTTCCCTTCTCTCCTATTAGAATGCAGCCTCCATGAGGCAGGGCCTTGGTCTGTCTTGTGCACTTGTTCACTGTATTTCTAGCCCCCTAAAATGTGATGACTGAGTGAATGAATGCGTGAATTTTCACGATAGCCCTAGGAGACAGAGACTCGGAGAAGAGAAATTGCCTGCCCAAGGTCACACAGTGGAGAAGGGATGGAGCCAGGTCTTTCTCCCAAGCAAGGAGAGCTCCCTCCCCTGACCTCAAACTTCTCCCCAACCCAACCATACCCCATGCTCTCACCTCTTAAGGACATTGAGGACACTGATGGGCAGGTAGCAGAGGGCGAAGACCAGCAGTACCACCATCAGCATCTTGGCTGTCTTCCTCCGCGCACGCATCTGCTTCACTTCAGCCAGGAAGGCACGGGCCCGGGGCTGGGGCTCTCCACCCAGGTCCCCCAGCTGGTCTGAGGGCCGCTTCCAGTTCCGCACCAGTGCTGAGGTGGTGCCAGGGATCTGTCCAGTACACACAGAGATAGCAGCTGTGGGTATAGCACCTTGGGAGGGTGGTTGCCTTTTGTGGGGCCCACTGAAGGCTGGACCCTGGGCAGGGTGGAGATGGGCAAAGGGAACAAACCATTGCAAGAGGAAGGAACCTAATGTTTATGACAAAGACACTCTGGACTTGAGAGTGAACAACAGACTTTCTTTTCCTTTTTCTTTCTTTTTTTTTTTTTTTTTTTGAGATAGAATTTCACTCTTGTCACCCAGGCTGGAGTGCAATGGTGCAATCTTGGCTCACTGCAACCTCAGCCTCCTGAGTAGCTGGGACTACAGGTGTGTGCCCCCATGCCCAGCTAATTTTTATATTTTTAGTAGAGATGGAGTTTCACCATGTTGGCCAGGCTGGTCTTGAACTCCTGACCTTAGGTGATCCCCCTGCCTCAGCCTCCCAAAGTGCTAGGATTACAGGCGCGAGTCACTGCGCCTGGCCTAGACTTTGATTCTCCATTAGCTCATTGTGAAACGCCCTGCAACATGCCTTGTGGAAAGATCTTATTGGCCCTTAGGTATAGATGAAGCAACTCAGACTTAGGGAGGTGGGGACCCTTGACAAGGCCCCAGGCCACATCTCCTCAGCTGCCCATCCATCCTCCCTAAATCTCCAACACTATCTTTGAGGGTAGGAGTGGGGGTGAGTTGTGCCTCCCCTGGGTCATACCAGACTGTGGGGAGGCCTGGGCAAGGGGTGAACAGGTGGGCAGCATGGAATGGCCTGGGCCAGTGCCCATAACCCTGGGTGTTTCTGGGCTCCTGGAGAAGCCTTTCCTACCACTGGACGCTTGAGTCACCCACAACAGAGGGGTATGGCGCTACAGTTCCGGAAACTGTGTCTAGAGCCAGCTGAAACATTTGTGAGCTGTATGACCTTGGCCGCCTCACTTTCCTTTCTCAGCCTGGCTTTCATGTCTGTCAAATGAGGAGGATTGTGCCTGTGTCCTGCTTGGCTGGGGGGTTGTGGGAGCAGATGATCAGTGTGGGTGGACTGCAGTGCTGGCCACCCAGAAAGAGCCCTACTGGACTGTGTGCTCCTCCCAGGCAGGACTTGGGTCTCAGCCAGTCCATGTCTCCACCCACTGCCCGGCATGGCCTGGGTGCAAGCCAGTACTGTCTTTGGAATGCAGGTGACTTCCCCAAGTGTGAGAGTCCCTTCCTGAGCCTGGTCATGTTCTGGACTGCATTTTCTCACTTCCCGGACACCAACCCAGGACTCCCACTCGCTAGGCCCAGGGCCTCTGAACACCCCTAAAAAGCCTAGGAAACCCACTGTGGGTCAGTCTGCAATGCAGGAAAGAAGACAGGCCCTGGAACCAGAAGGCTCTGGCAAGTGGGTGCCCTTATTTGCCATTTGTGACGTGGGTAACGATGCTTCTTTTGTTAGATGGTTGTTAAGACATTGGATGCAAAGTGCCTAGTTTGGCAAGCAAGACGGAGTTGCTATTCTTATTGTCGCAGTGGTACTAAACTGAGCAGTGGGGGCTCACAGATCTGGGTTTTACTTCCTGATCTACTCGCTGAGTAGTTTGGGGGAAGTTATGTTGATCTTCTGGGTCTTGGTTTTCTCATATATTTAATGGGGGCAGTAAATGATGTTAAGAGGACGTGAGACTATCCGGGAGCGGATGGTTCAATAAACATGGCAGCCACTAATATTAGAAGGATGTGTTACTACTGTTGATTCCAGGGTGGCTACTAGCGCTTTTCGCCTTGAGCTCGACATGTCTCTGGGCTTCCCCTCTCTTTGGTTGCAGCCAAGATGGCATGTGCTGATGGCAGAGGACTGTCTACTCCGTTAGGCCAGAAGACCCCTACCCCCAACCCCAGCCCACACGGTGACACCAGAGTGGGCCTTACCTGGCGGCCCCAGAGCTTGCGGAATATCTGGAAATAGGCTGTGGCCATGAGGCCCAGTGGGGCCAGGTAGGTGACAATAAAGAAGCAGCTGTGGTAGATCTTGGGATAGAGGTCATCTGCAGGGGTCAAAACGTACGAAGTCAGGCCCTGTCTGCGAGCGCCACCCTGCCCTGGCTAGCAATGCCACCCTGTCCTGACTAGGGCCAAAGCAAGGCCTAGGAGCAACTGGACCCCATGCAGCCAGCATGACAAACAGAGTCCAGCGTGGGGTGTCCATCCTGGAAGGACATCTACACTAGAGCAGATGTCTACGTAAGAGGAGGTACCCACCCTGGGATATCCCTGGTAGGTGCCAGCCTAAGGTGTCCTCTAGGGAGATACCTGCCCTGGGATTTCCTACCCTGGAAGGGTCCCTGCTAGATGCCTGCCCTAGGGGTACATGCTCCCAAAGTGCGCACCTGAGGGGATGCCTGCTTGAGGCTTCCACCATTACCTGCCCAGTGTTCATCACAGACAGAGAAGAGCCGTGTTCGGTTGGCTAGCTCAGGCAGCACACTGCTGCATTCCATGACTGCAGCCTGGGGCACCATGACAGCCAGTGACACAGCCCAGATGCCCAGGATGGAGCCGCGGGCCCGCCGGGCTGTGCTCTTGAACAATAGTGGGTGGCAGATGGCATACCAGCGGTCCAGGGCGATGAAGCTGAGAGTCAGCACTGCCACTGACACAGACACAGCCTGGCCCATGGGGACACAATGTCAGTCAGTCATTTTGGGGCCGCTCAGAGATGGGAGAGCAGGTGAGTGAGGAGGCTGACGGCAGGCACAGTGCAGGGCAAATCCTGATTCCACCACTTACTGGCTGTGCAAATGTAGGCAAGTCACTTATCCTCTGTGAGGCTTGTCTACAGAATAAGAATATACCATCTACCTGGCAGGATTCAAGTGAAATCATGTAGAAACAATGTCCAGCTTCAGACCTGGCACATGGTAGGAGCACCCCTACTGTGAATAATAACTTGCACCTACAGAACTTACTATGTGCTGGCCACTGTTCTTAACATCCTCACAACAACCCTACAAAGTAGGTGCTCTTACCCCCCTGTTGCCGATGAGGAAACTGAGGCACAGAATTCCCTCATCCTTCTGTCTTTATGCTCAGGGTCACCAGAGTTAACTAGTTGAGTGGGAAACCTCAAAACAGTGGGAAATCCAACAGGCATTTCTCTGCCCTCTAATGCCATCCCTTCCCCAGGCTGTTAGGAAAAAAAATCCTCATTCTGGGAGGCAGAGATGAGTCTTGGCCAGAGGTGTGTGGGCATTGCCTCCAGGGGTGGATCCTGCCCTCTGGGGTGCAGGAAGTGGATCGAAGGGTACAAACCGAGAGAAGTCTTCCTTCCGCCCCACTAACACCATCTGGACATCCTGGTTTCCACCACTGGGGCTTTTCCTGGCCCGTGCGGGAGGGAGAGAAGGCTGTTTCTGTCAGGCCCCCTCATGTCTGCCCCTTTGGGACTGGGGAGCAGTCCTGGGGTGTTGTGTAAGTGTCTCTGTGGGCTTGTGCCTCTTCTCTACTGTGTGCCTGTGTACCTGGAGGTGACTACATGTGTCCATACGTATCTATGTATATGTTTGTGACTGTGACCGGGGGGGGATCTTTGTGAGTGTGTGGGGTTGTGTCTGTGTCCTTGAGTGTCTGATCTGGTGGCTTGCTCTTGCTTGCAGTAGAAGATGACACTTCAGGGGTTGCGAGCCACTGACCTGTCTGAAAGGCAAGTCTGAGGGTCGTGGAGGCCTACGCAAGGCCATGGGTTTAGTGCAGATGTGACAAGGAGTAGTGAGGGGTGCCTGGGCAGAGCTCACCTGTAGATAGGGGATGACCTTGCAGAGGGCATGGCCAAAGAGCCAGGACTCAGTGATGTCTACTAGCAGGCTGGCCGGCAGGCAGATGGCGGTCACCAGGACATCAGCCAGAGACAGGTTCACGATGAAGTAGTTGGTGACTGTCCTCATCTGGTGGTTTCGCCACACGGCCAGGCAGACTGCAGGGTGCAGCAAGGTGAGGTCAAGCTGGTGGCAGAGCCACGCCCATCCTAGTTCTGCCCAATCAGCGAGCCCCTCCCCGCACACCCCTCCTTCAGTCCCCAGGGAAAGCCGGCAGCACAGCAGGGCAAGCTCGGGACCTACCCAGCGTGTTGCCCACCAGAGCCACGAGGAACACAGCTACATAGGCTGCGATGAGGACCCACTCGTACTGCTTTGGGTACAGATAATCGTGCCACAGATAGCGGAGGAACTCGTCTTCATAGTCTGGAGGCACAGGGGATGGCTCCCTGCTGCCAGGGGGGACCCCTATCTGGGTCCCTGGGGTGGCTGAGGGCTCCATGAGCTCAGGAGGTGCCGCAGCAGAGGGGCATCCTAGGCTCTGTGGAGGGAGAGGAGGGAACCCTGGGCCAGCCCTCAGACTGCTCCCCTTAGAGTATCTGGAAGCTTGCACCCGGGTGTTTTGGGGTCTCAGCCCCCAAACTTCCTGAAGGGAGGAAGGAAAGAAAGGAGTGGGGAAAGAGGGAAGGAAGGAAACATTAGGGAGTGTGGCAGGTACTTTGCATGTAAGTTTCCTCTTAATTCTCACAGTCATGAAATTGATGGAGGAAGACAGACCTCGGTTGCATCCCAATTCCACATCAGTTGCCTTAGGTAACTTACCTGGCCTCTTTCAGCCTCGGTTTCCCCATTGATCTAATGGGGTGATAACCCTACCTACCTTACAGGGCCGAGATGAGGAGTAATGAGCTCTGATGCATGCCAAATGCCTCACCAAGAACCTGGCACGAGAAGGTGGTTTGGGGGATGTTTCCAGCTACTCTTAGTAGAGTACGCTGCTTTGCAGATGAGAGGGAAGCTCAGAGAGATTGAGTCCCTTGCTCAAGGTCACAAAGCTCCTAAGCCAGGTCTGTCCGAACCCACCAAACACCATAGATTTAGGTGGAAAAGCCATCCCGATTTCAAATGTTTCTTGAGCCAGTTCACAGGCTTTAATTTTGGGTTGGGAAACAGGGTCAATGGAGGTGTTAGAGACCCAAACCCCACCCGCCAGACTTGCCAGACCCTCCGGTGGGCACCCGCGCGCGCGAGCGCGCGAGCACACACACACACACACACACACACACACACACACACACACCCCACACAGTGGGGGTGGTTCGGGGAGGGACTGACGACCTCTTGGGAGCAATGGGGGCGTCCAGGCCCCCTGCGGGGTCCCCTTTGGGTCCCCGGGGCCGCGACGCTCCCCGACGGCCGCCAGGAGCCGCTGTTCTGGCGCGCTGGCCGCTCTCCATTCATAAATCCAGCCAGCCCGGCTCCCCGCCTCTCTCTCCTCCCGCACTCAGCCCCTCCTTCACCCGGCTGGCCTGGGAAGACCCCCGCCGGGTGCCGGAGGGTTGCGGATCACCGGAGACCTCTGAGGAGGAAGAGGGGACGCCTTGGTACCCCACTGAACGCCGACAGGCCGGCTCCGTCCGCGGGACCTCCCTGCACCTCGGGGGTTGCGGGGGCTCCGGGGAGGCGGGGGGAGAGAGGGCACTGGGGGTTCCGCGGGAGCCTGCCTGGAGGAGAGCAGCGCCGGCCGGGAGCCAGTCTCCCAGCACCCCGATTACCACCCGAGAATCTTGGCTCCCCCCATCCCTCGCCGCAGGTCCTTTGGAACCCCATCCCGGGCCTGGGGGGTCCCCCACACCCCGCACCTGTTGACTCCGGGACCCGGGCGTTCTCCGCTGCTGGTGCCCGGACCTGGCACCGGGAGCTTCACCTTCCTGCGGGGAAGACCAGACCTCTGGGGTTCGGGGCTGCGGGAGGGGGCCGGGGCAGCCCCTCCCTAGGCTGCGTTGCCTCGGCTCGAGGGTCTGAGCGCCAGCCCGGGCTACTGCGCGGGCTGTGGCTCGCCGCGGGCCCCGCCGGGCTGCGCGCTGCGGGGACGGGGGCCGGTGGGAGAGGCAGGGCGGGGTGGGAGCCCCCAGCAGGTCTCCGCTCCGTGTTTTCCAGCCCCGAGACCCGCAGGGCGGAGGGAGACGCTCGTTCCTTCTCGCCTCCCACTTCACGCTTCCATCCCACCTTCATTCCTGCGTCCACCCGTTCATTCATTCCATCCTCATTCATTCCACATTTATGCCCCTGGCCACCCCGCATTCTGGGCGCACTTAGTGTGTGCCGGCGGACCTGCCAGCTTCGGAGGGCCAGAGTGCAGAGATGGAGCCCGGCCCCGCCTCTCCTTGCTGCCTCACCTAACTGAGGAGGAGGACGGCACAGGCGGGTCACAGGGGTGAGACAGAGAGGATGCCGGCACCGCCTCCAGCCCAGCTCCGGATGCTGCTGGAACAGCTTGCTCCCAACGATGCCAGAGAGCCCTGCTCTCCCATCTCCCATCCCCTCCCCCGTCCTATCTGCCCCCAATTATTCTTTTTGTTATACCTACTGCTTCCCTCCCAAAACAGGGACGCTGGTGGGGGCAGGAATGGGGGTTCATTAATTCCACAAATAACCATTTATTAAGCTATGTGCCAAGCAGTGAGTTATATTAATAAAGCTACATGATGCCTGATCTCGTTTAATTTTCACACCAACCTGGTGAGGTAGTTATTATTGTTCCCATTTTACAGATGAGGACACTGGACCCACATGGTGCAATGACTTGCCCAAGGTCACACAGCAGAGGCAGAGCTGGGCTAAGCCTGTGCCTCTCTCAGGTCTTCCAGCCTCTCTCACCAGATGGAGGCTCCCTGCCCTGCAAAGTCTCTCTGGCTGCTGGAGGAGGCAGGGGCACAGCCAGGCAATTTTTCCTTGGTGTGGGGAGAGTGTGAGGGACCTGGGGGCTGTGGGGCACAGAAGAACAGAGGACTCAGCCAGGGCATGAGAACAGGCTTCCTGGAGCAGGAGCATCTCCATGGAGACCTGAAGAATAAGAAGGTAAGCCTGCAAGGGGGATTGTGGTATTCCAGGCGAGGTATTCAAGGTCAGGAAACAGTAGGTGTAAAGGCGTGAAGGTTGGGGCTTCTGGAAATCATTCACTCAAGGGTAGATGAAGGGTGACTGCCTGAGCATCAAGCAGTCACCTTGGCTATTCCCTACCTCAGGATAGGACCTTCCTAACACATTACCCTCTGAAACTCACACTCTTTCCCTCCTGGGAGGTGATTCCTGGGATGTAACCACCGTCTTTCCCATTGCAGCCAAAGCCCTTTTCAAAGGCTCTGGAGATGCACCATTAGGCATAGGAGGTGTGGAAGAGGAACTGGAGCAGCACAAGGGGCAGGGCCGGTGACCTTCACCTCTGCAGAGATGGAGGATGGACTGAAGCTAAACCCAAGGCAGAACTTTGTCCTTGGGCAGATACGGCATCTGCATGGTGGGTGATGTCCTGTCTGCCCTAGGTGCTGGCTGAGATAGAAGATGGAGTGAAGGGACTCAGAAGAGGGGCTGATGTGTGTGTGTGTGCATGTGTGTCTGCATATGTGTGCACATGTGTGTGTTTGTGTTTGAGTCTTGAATTCAAGAGCTGTGGTGTGTGTCTAGGAAATCCAGTTTGTGTGTGTGTGTGTGTGTGTGTCTCACTGTGCATATGAGCAGGGTATGGGCTCTGAGTTAATGACTGGCATCACCCTGGGTGGGATGTGTCTGTCTGGGTTTTGATCTGTCACTGTGCTTTGGCCTTTTTGTCTATGAGGAACGTGTATGTGTGAGGGGGTGTCTGTTTCTCAGTGTGGATCTGAATGCTCAACTGTGGCTTTGACTAGTGCTTGTGAGTGTGGACATGCCTTTGTGTGCAAAGCTCTGTGAGTGTGTGTATGTGGAACTTGGTATAGCTGTTCCCACGGCAATGACTCATCTTACCCCCCCTCCCTCATTCTCTCCCCAACCTGGAGCTGTGACTGTTTGCTATGTTGAGGCTGAGAAGGGGGATGCACCATGTGGGGGGGATGAGAGGCAGATTGCGCAGGGACACTCCAATGACAGCTGGCAAACAAGGTGCAGCCAGTGATGTGGAAGGTACAGCTCCATATTTGTCTGTGTGGGTGGAGACACCAGCCGAGCTCAGCACAGCTCAGGCTTAGAACCTAACCCAGAATGCAGATCTCCATAATTCAGGGCCTCCCAGATACCCTGGGTTGGAGTGGGCAAGGGGCTCACCAGGTTCCCCAAGTCATGATACAGGTTAATGCATGTCTGTGTAGGGAGGAACTCATGGCTAAGAACTCCCCCCAGTACACAGTTGCACAGAGCCCGTCCCAGCTTCACTCAAGAGGACTGTCAATTGCCAACCTTCCCCAACCCTTTATCCTTTGGTTTCCCAAAGATGACTGCTCCCCAGGTCAAGGGGTCCTGAGAGATTCCTGCCACACACAAGCAGCAGATCTCTCTGTCTCCCCCATCAGACTCTGCCCAGGTATTTTCAAGCCAGCAGCAGGAGCCAGGGCTCTGGCCTAGAGGCACTAGACCTCGCAGCCTCTCTGGTCATGAATCTGGCAGATTTAGCCACAGCCTGAGGGTGGGAGAGGCCAGTTATTTGGCCTAGATGGGCATGGGAGAGAGTGGGTGCATGCTGAGGAAATCCTGGGGGCGGTGCGGTAGGAAGCAGCAGGGCTCTAGAAGGCCTACAAGGAGCTGCAGGCTTTTGATCCTCGGGCACAACAGCACTGGCCTCTGGGAACCCCTGGCAAAATGCCCATGTCCAAGGGAGGGCCCCAGGGACCTCAGGTCCTCCATGTCCAGGCTGGGCTCCCAGCCCTGGCGCCTCCTTTGCCCAGGGAGGTCTGGCCTCAAGCCTTTGCTGAGCTTGAGCTGTCTGTCAACAGGGGCCCACATGACCTCTTTCCTGGAACCAGCCAGCCCCAGCCTTGTTGATCTAATCCTGAGCCTCTGAGCCACAGGTCTCTGTCATATCCATCATCAAGTGTCACCCTAGGCACTGGCCCCAGTTGCTACCTCCTCTTCCCTCCCAATTCTGATGTGACTTACAGTAACCTCTGTCTGGCTAAGACTAGAGTAATTGAAATATAATTGGGTTTCCTCTTGCTAATGCCGCTACAGACCTGGGAACGTGGATAGGAAAACTCTGGGCAGGGCAGAGGTGCTTTGTAGAAGAACAGAGATCAGGCAGCAGGCTGAGGTATGGGATCGGGTGAGGGGAGGGCCAGCAGAGATGGGCTGTGTGGAGGCAAGGGGGGTTCTCAGGGCGACGCCTAGGGAGGCCACTGAGCAGCTGTGGTGTTTTGGTCTTTGGGCCAACAGCAATGGCCTCTGGGAGCTTATGCCCAGGGAGGGACCCAGAGACCTCCTGCTCCCCATATCCAGGTCCTCAGCCTTTGTGCCTCTTCTCCTTTGGATGGGCCTCCTCCTTCAGGGTCTGTGTGGATTGAAGGGGACAGGCAGCCACCAGGAGAGGAGAAACCCAGGACCCAGAGTCAGGCATTCTCTGTGACTTCAAAAGCTAGAGCATCTTCCTTTTTTGTTTTGTTTTGTTTTTTGAGACAGTCTTGCTCTGTTGCTCGAGCTGGAATGCAATGGCACGATAATGACTCACTGCAACCTCTACCTCCTGCTTAAGTGATCCTCCTGCCTTGGCCTCCCAAAGTGCTGGGATTACAAGCGTGAGCCACTACTCCTGGCCAAGAGTGCATCTTCAAGCCAGTGGCAGGAGCCAGGGAGAAGGGGCTGAAGCCAACAGCCTTCTGTCTCTCCACTCACTCATATACTCACTCAACAAACAAACACGGAGGCCAGGTAAGCTGCAGAGATGGGGGTCCTCCTGGTTCGGCTGGGGAGACCCTCATGGAGAAGAGTAGACAGAGTGGTGTCAAATGCATCAGGATGGAGCCTGTGGAGGCAGGTTGGGGGCAGAATGGGACAGCACCAAAACAGAGCACAAGAACCACCAAAAATACATCCCTTCCTCCCGCCCCCCCCCCCCAGTGTTGAGGGGAGGTCAGGAGCAGGGCTTTGGGGTCAGGAAGATGGGGATTAGACACCACTCTGCTGCTTACTACTGGGTGATCTTGGGCTGGTCACTTCCTTCACCTCCAGGATAGGCTGAATAATGACCCCAAAGATGTCTGTGTCCTAACTCCCAGAGCCTGTGGCTATGTTTCATGGCAAAAGGGACTTTGCAGATTTGGCAAAATTAAGGATCTTGAGATGACGAGCTTATCCTGGATTGTGCAGGCGGGCCCGGTGCGATCACGTGGTCCTTGTAAGAGGGAGCCCAGAGGGTCAGAAAGAGAAGACAGGATGATGGAAGAGGGAATGCAGTCCTGCCACGCCCTGGATTTTAGCCCCACGAGACTCATTTTGGACTTTTGACTTCTAGTGCCACGAGAGAATAAACTTGTGTCTTTTTTATTTGTACTTTATCTATCTATCTATCTATCTATCTATCTATCTATCTTTCTTTCTTTCTATCTATCTATTATCTATCTATCTATATTTTGAGTAGCCTTCCAGTAACCTCTGTCAGGCAAAATGCCCATGTCCAAGGGAGGGCCCCACGGACCTCAGGTCCAGGCTTAATCAATTAAGCCTGTGCGACAGTCTTGCTCTGTTGCCCAGGCTGGAGAGCAGTGGTGCAATCACAGCTTACTGTAGCCTGGACTTCCCTGGCTCAAGCATTCCTCCTGCTTCAGCCTCCCAAGTAGCTGGGACCACAGGCACACACCACCACATCCATCTAATTTCTGTATGTTTTTGTAAAGACAGGGTTTTGCCATGTTGCCCAGGCTGATCTCGAACTCCTGAGCGCAAACCATTCACCTTCCTTGATCTTCCAAAGTGTTGGGATTACAGGCACGAGCCACTGCACCCAGCTTTGTGCTGTTTGAAGCTGCTAAATCTGTGGTAATCTGTCACGGCAGCAATAGAAAACTAACAGCCTCTCTGTGCCTCGCTTCGCTGGTTATAAGATGAAACTAACAAGGACCTTTGCCATACAGAATTTGTAAGGATTCCCTAAGACCGGATGTGTGTGCAGGGCATGGGGAGCTGGGGCACCAGCAGGGCAGAGACAGACATAATCATACACATGCACATCTTCAAGAAGTCAAAGTGGTCATCATGGGAGGAATCAGGATTTTTGTCAGACATCGTGACACAAGTGGACATTTGGTATTGTTGTGAGCCACCTATTGGTGCTGGGGGCTGCTAAAGACCTAAATCCTAAAATAATAAGTAATATTAGTTATAAACAATGGCTATAGTAAATGTGTCCTGGTGTGATTATT